CCAAAGAGAAATTTTGCTAAAATAATTTATAGTATGCAACCACGGTAGCTAAGTAGATTAAGTACTACATCTGGGCTTCTCATGACTGGTTTCCTTATAAAAGACCCAGGCAAAAATAATTCTGGAATGGATGTTTTTCCCAGGAAGCATTCAAAACAAATTTATTGGTGCCTTCAAATAATTATTAATTGGGAAGGAGGTCGAGTTCTATGAATGGGGAGCCCATCAAAATCCAAATCAAGATTTTTTTTTTTTGAAATTTTGGGTAGAATCCTCTTTGACTGCAATTTTTTTATTTTTTATTATTATTTTTTATTATTTTATTTTTTATTTTTTTAAAAGATTTTATTTACTTATTCATATGGAACTGGGGTACAGGCCAGAGATGCAGAGGGTGAGAGGATTCACCAGAGACAGAACGAGGAGCAGAACAGGCAGATCGACGAAGCACACTGCTGAGGGGAGCAGCGGGTGGGTCAGGAGAGGTCTGCCTCGCCATGTGGACTTCTCCCGGGCAGGTGGGAATCGAACTCATGCGGAAGTGGCTTAAGCTTAGTAGTGCAGTGCTTTAACCCGCTGCGCCACCAGGGAGGGCCAACTGCATTTCTTTTTAAAAAAGATTTATTTGTTTGTGCATACAGAACTGGGTACAGGCCAGAGGTGCAGGGATTCATCAAAGACAGAGTGAGAAATGTAACATGCAGATGTATCGAAATACACTGCTGAGAGGAGCAGCAGGAGGATCAGGAGAGGTCTGCTGGCCATGTGGGTCAGCTCCCTGGCAGGGGATTGAACTGGTGCTGCAGTGGCTGCAATAGCTGTAGTAGTTCATAGTGCTATGCTTTAACCTGCTACACCACCAGGGAGGTCCCCAATCAAGAATTTTTGACTCAGAACTGTCGACTGGAAGCAAGCAGGTAAGCAATGTGTGAAGGGCACAGTTGCAAGAGTGGGGGGCATTGTGGCAAACTAAGTAGGGAGCACACAGAATAAAGAGCAGCTTCACTTCCAACCACTGCTGCCATGTGGGAACGGAAGCCCAGGGGAAACGGATCTTTTGATTCCTCAGAACCCCTTAGAAATATAGCTGTTTCTAGACAATATCAGATTTTGTGAAATCTATTGAATTGTAAATGTTGGCAACCAGTTATTTTATTTCTAACAACTTATTATTACAGAGGCAGTGCACATGTACAAAAATAGAAAATGTAGGCCAGTAACAACAAAACATATTCTCACCACTCCAAGCTCATCACTGTTAACACATCAGTGTATAGCCTTGCAGAAATTTCCCCCCCCCATAAATATAGACATTTTAGAAACAAAATATGATTACCCTCTACATATGGTTTTGGAACTGAGTATTAATGATTCTGACCTCTCCAGTTCATAAAGTTCCATCTCATCTAATCCCATCCAGATTCAAAATTTTCAAATTAACCCCCAAACACCTTTTATAATAATGTTTAAACTAATAGGGAAACCAGGATGATGCACTATAGAATTATTATATATCTATGTCCCTCTGATCTAGCAATCTTCTTTTTAAATTATACTGACTTGCTGAAGAGAGCTGGCCAGTTGGACTGCAGAATACCTCACCTCATTTTTCCTGTTACTTCCTATAGTGTCCCTTAGTTTATTTCTCTATCTCCAGTCTCTCCTGTAGATATCTAATATCTCTTCTGGGAATAGAGAGCAGCTGGGATACATACTAGATTGGGAGTATTTTGCATCACACCAAAGTGGTCTACTGGTTCCAGGAAAGTGCTGAGTGTGATCCCTTCAAAAATTACATTTCTGTCCTCAAGATCATGACACTATGCCACCGTGAACATCCAGTTTTATGTCAATAATCTTTGCAAGAATCAATAACTTTATTAAAGATCACAAAATGCTGTTTTCCCAATTCTATCACTTAAAAAAAGGATTTATTTATTTTTGTATAAGCTTTTGTATAATTTTGCAGGGGCTCGGGTATAGGCCTGAGGAAGGGGTGATGAGAGAATTTACCAGAGAAAGAGTGGGGAACAAAACGGACAGATTCACTGAAATACACTGCTGAGGGGAGCAACAGGCAATACAAGCAAGGTCTGCTGTGCCATGCAGGTCACCTGCCTGGCTGAGGATAGAACTCTGCCTGGCTGCAGGTAGCTTCACAGTGCTGAGACTTAACCCCTTGCACCACCAGGGAAGTCCCAATTCTATCATTCTTTGTCAATTGACATTTTCTCTCCTCAACTAAGAATATAATACTATAAAAAAATAACTCCCAGAAATCCAAACTCAATGCATGTGAGGGCAGGATTCAGCCTGTAGTCTGCCACCCTCTGATCTATAATCTAAGCCAAATTCTTACCTCTGTCATCTGCACCGTGGCATTGTCTTTTATGACACTCATTTACTTTACACTTGTTGACATGTTGCTTGTAATCTTCTCAAGGTATTTTTTTTATTTGTTTCTCTAGTTAAGACTGTGACCTCCTTAAGGGCAGCTCTCCTGCAGTACATTTCCTTTGCTTCTCTTAATAGGTTTTTATAGGTATTTGGGTGACTGCTCATTCTAATTAATAAAAAAAAGCACAAGAACAAACCAAAATTGTCATCATTGTCTCTGGTGTTTCCTGGCTTACGCATTAAATGTCCCCCTAATGATGTATCATAATGAAGTACTTACCTCATTTGTTGTCCCTGAGATGGTGGGTAGGAGGGAAAGGATAAAAATAAGCTCTTGTTAGTCTTCAAAGGTTGGAAAATCATTTTCCAGCTGCATGATTTTAGGTCAGTCCCATCATTGCTCAGTTTCCATTTCTTCATTCAGTAAAACATGGTGACTGGTTATCTCTACAATCACACCCTACTTGACTCCAAGTGGTACCTTTTAGTAGATATTCCTCCTAACCCATCTTTCCCTGCTTGAAGAGCACCATGGCTCCCTTCACACTTGACAGCACTATTCTTTCTAAGCTTAGGTGAAATAATACCCATAGTGGGTAGAATTTTTCTCTAATGACTCCTCTCCTGTCACACCGAGATAGACTATGACCCAGTAATAATTTGTTCATTTCCAAAGTCAAGCATTAGTTCTCCACGATGTGTGGACATTCCACAGCAACTGATACAGCAGAAGCCCAATCTGAGATTGTCTGTGCTGCAAGGGAGGATGGAGAGACAGGTTGGCTAGAGTCTCCCCACTGGACTCTGGATGACCCTGGCCAGCTCCGGGGTACAATTCCTTCTGAAAAGTAAAACAGGTTTTCCCCAGTCTTTTATCTGAGTCCTATTACTCTCCTTTCCCTCTTTTTATTCCATTCTTTATAAGTACAATCTCATCCAGCTGACTTTACATGCCCGAAAAGATCCTTTTTCTACCTCCTTCTTAATATTATAAATGGAATCTCACCATTTCCCCTACCTTGGAAGGTGAAGAATAGGAAAACAGAATCACCACTAGGTTTACTCTTCACCAACCACATTGGAACTGCAGTAGCAAACAGCAGGAGTCTGCAGTGAAAGCCTGTCTGACTCATGTCCTGCAACTTTCATCTGAACACACAAAGTATATCCCTAATTTTTCCATTTTCTCCATCTCAGGACTAGTGGCTATTGATGGCAATCAGGTGGCAAAATGGCCAAAGAAGCCTACTGGTTGCTGTACCCTTGGGAGCATCCCGTGAATCTTTCTGCTATCAGCTGTAAATGTTCATGCCACTACGAAGGGTAAGCGATCCCCCAGAAAACAGGATGGGAAATTCTTGCTATGCAGCTACTCCTGGGAGCCTGCCTTTGCTCTGTCATCACAGGAGTGCTCTTCTGCTGTGAATTGCCATCCCTGGGCCTGTCTTGTCAGGTGTTAGCATTTGCTTTCCCTGTGAAAGAAAGGAGTAGCCCCCAGTGGCAGGAAGAGTCTTTGGGAGCCCCAGGACTTGGAACAGAGGACAATGAGCCAGTTAGCAATGCATGGAGGCCAAATCAGAATAAGAGACAAAGGGTAAGAGTAACAGAGCAGATAACACCCCCAAGAGTAAAAGCCAGAACTCAAGGGATGCATGTAAAGCTATACATGCTTATCTGGACTTCCCAGACCTGGAGCAGTCTGCTGAGAAAGGATCTCAGTCACAGGCTTTGTATTTACTTAATTAATAGTTAACAGTTCAGGAGAAACAATCCCAGCCGCAGAACAAGTGATCTAGTTTCAGAATATTTATTCCTTAAAAAAAAAAAAATTGCCCCTCCCCACCCCCTAGTTCTCAGTATGAATCTTAACTCCTGCTCCCACTCCCACTCTCTTCCATGCAATTTCCAGGGTAGTCGGCATAGTCATTTTGGAATCGCCCTAACAGTGGATTTTCTGTACTCAGGAGTCATTTCCAATATGAAGCTCTGAGCGACAGAAATGAGGATTAAAGATCAAAGATTATCAGATTAATTAGTCTAAAACCAATTCACCTAGAGACAACTAGTCTAAAACATTTATCAAATCTGCAGCATTTAAGGATTTAGCAGATTCAATGCTTTCTCACTTTTTGTTGCTGTTGTCTCTGTAACCTTTCATTGCTAGTCAGCTGAATGTGCCATAGGCCCGTTCATTTGTTTAGAATATATTGGCATTTTAATAGGAATGTAGAAATTAAACCAAGCACCAAAGTCATATTAAGCTCTATTACAATTTTCAAGACATGTAATTTGTAAAGAAATATTGGATTAAGAAACAAAAAATTATACACAAAATGTCTGAACCAATTATATTTATTGCTAGAAACTTTAAACTTTGTAAAAAGTAAATAACATAGAAAAAGATATCCATAAAGGTAGGAAGCAATCTCATCATTTACAAAGTGCTGCAAATTTGATAAATTTATGTTGCCGGTAATAACTCGAAATTACTCTTGGATGAATAGATATAAATCCTTGAAATACCCAAAGCATCACAAAAAGAGAACAGACACCTAAACAGATATAAAAACATCCGGAAAGGAACTGAGCACTTGGCAAACTGGTCAATACATGAGCTGAACTTTAAGCAAACAAGTTTCAACAGTGAACTGCTTTTAAGAGACCTAGCTTTAGGTGAAACAATTCTAGCCAAACTGGAACTAAGTCAGTGTTTTTCTCTTCTGGCTCCCCAGAGAGTCAGGGCTGGGGAGCTGCAGTGGATGTAACTTGGATCCCTCTGAGAGGTGGCAGGTCTACATTGCTAAGTTACTAGAGTGTGAGCTACTGCTAAGGAATCAAGTGTGAAGACCTGAGAAGAACGGAGTAAGAACACAGATGTGTGTGTGTGTGTGTGTGTGTGTGTGTGTGTGAACCCATCCAGGTATGCGTGTACTGTGCTGGAGGGCTCAGTGCACTTGCACCTGGCAGCATGCAGGGTGGCTAGCCTGAAGCTTCCCAGGTACCCACCCAGCAACTCCATACCCAGAGACCCACTCATTCCTCCCCCAGCTGAGAAGAGGGACCAAGTGCAGGCAGCCAGCTAGCCTCTCCCAGCCCACAGGAGTCCCTGAGATACAGGCAATACAGGCAATAGGCCCACCCAGAGCTGGGCCCCAACCTCAGCAGAGGGACGAGCAGCTCTCCTAGTCCTCGAGAGGAGGCGACCAAGAAATAACTCATTTAATAAAGCCCAGAGTCTCCACCTCTTCGTTCAGGTCCAAAGAAAAGATGTTTATACCCCGTGAGGCCTAAGAGTGAGGAGCTCCTACATGTCCTGTCTTCCTCCAATCCAGAACCAGAACATTGCTTGACTTGGACTAGAGCTGGATGTTCTGAAAGCACTGAGCCCCGCCTGTGTGTGCCTGAGAACATGCTAGGTAACACATGTCGCACAATGGAAGGAGAGCCAGTCACCCCTGCCCTCGAAACTGAAGCGTCCTCCTCTACAGTCCATTTGGAATGTTACAATCTTTGGGTCTCTGGCCCTTGAGGTCCTCCCCAGAGGGCTCTTCTGCCAGGCCTACAGAGTAAGTACATTCCTTGCCTCGACTGGCCTTGGAGGGGCCCACTGGCCAGAGGACTTTGTCAACGGTTGTGATGGCAGCCGCAGCGGCTGTAGCTCAGACATAGTTGGCGGGGGGCTGCCGGGCACTGAGCCGCTGCATGTGACAGCCATGGCAGAGCAAGTGCCCGTCCAGAGGGAAGCAGCAGCAGCCTTCCTCGTCACTCAGCTGCATCCGGCAGTCCTAGGGGATAAGGACACCTGGTTCACTTCAGCTCAGGCACCTCCGCCATCTTGGGAGTCTGCCCTGCTCACTACCATTCTCCTAATGACTGAAGAAAGGAGGTGGAGTTGAGGGCTGGCCTCCCAGAAGCAACACCTGAGAAAATACCTAAGCTGGACACCAGGTGCCGCTGCTATAGCAGAAATAATGAGACAGGCTCCCATTTCCAGCATTACCTGGAGTCCTCCGCTAGGTCTTAACAGGCTGGAGAAGCCAGATTCAGAAAGGTCTAAACCACCAGAACCAGCAAGAGTGGCTGGGTGGTGACGTGAGAGACTAGAGAAAGGTAAGAGCACCTTGCTGGTTTTTCATGCCCTACAGATGCAGGTAATTCTAGAACTTGACTCCTCCCTCAGCCCCATTCCAGTTCTCCAGGGGCCCTGACCCCAACACTCACCTCACAGTGGTAGCACTCAAAATGATAATCTCGATCCATGGAAATCACCCTCACAATGTCCTCACAGCCCTGAAACATGCAGACCCCCGTGGGGATAAGAGGGGCATGACCCCGACTCCATCCTCCCCTAACAGACCCCCTCTCCCACACCAAGGGGAAAACCATACAAAAGCCTCCAGAGCCTCTCTGTAGCTCTGAGGTGGCCTTTACAAATTCTACTGGAACTTTCTCCTTCCCCTTCCTGGGCACTGGTCCAGAAGGGCATGCCCCGGGTGGAGATGCCCCTGGTGTCCAGGTGCTCTGTCTGGCCTAACCTACCGCCCCCACCCCCCTCTTGTGGGGAAAGAGAAGAGGGAAGAGAAGCCAGGCAGGATAAATCAAGTAGGCTAAGCCCGGTACAGGAGGGCCAGTCAGATTGCTTCTCTCCCTGGGCACACCCTAGGTACACTAGCATAAATCATCTCTGAAGCCTTTCCATAGCCCCAAGGGTTCTCCCCAAGGATTCCCTAGCCCCTACATCTGCAATACAGTGACCCTGGCCTCTCTTCCTCTGGACTGGTACAGAAGAGATGGAGTCTGGGCCCAGGGAGGCTGTCAGACATGTCTAGGCCGGATGTTAGGGTCAGGGTGATGACCCTGAGAGCAGAGTCACACGGGAATCTTTGCAGAGTACATTCCTCAGCACCACCGTTTCCCAAGGGAGGTCAGACCACATGTCCCCATTCCCTCCCCAGAGGCGGCTGCACTGGCTGCCTTGCAGGAGAACCCAGACATACTGACCTCTGAGGGGAGGATGGGTTGGCCGCAGGCCGCACATTTGGGAGCGTAATTTCTGTAAGAGAGCACAGAGATGAGCTGAGGTGGGGGCAACCCTGAGCCCAGTTCCATACCGCACCCGAAGGGGTGGACTCACTTGTGGTAGTCAGTGACACAGTACACCTGGTTGGAGAAGTCCACTGTGAAGGGGATGCCGTCCAGGCACTTGTTGCAGACGATGCAGCGGAAGCAGCCTGGATGATAGGACTTTCCCATTGCCTGTAGGATCTGGCTCGGGGCAGAAGGAGTATCAGTCTCCCTCCAGTCCTGACTTTCCAACTCCCCATTACCCAATCCTTGCTGCTCCCACTAGCTTGTCCAACCCCCCTGCTAGCGTCCAGGAACAATATATGGAATTAAGGTGACTGAGGGGTTTTAAAATGGAGACAGAGCCCCTGAAAAAGTCTCAGAGAACACTCAGGAACATGGGAATCAGGCCTGGTTGCATGAGGATCACCTGGGGCATTTTAGATCACCAGCCCACAAGTATTCCACACAACCTCTGGTGATGACCCAGGCACTGGCATGTTCTCACTTTCCCCCAGGTGCTAGGGTTGAGAACCACTGATGTAACCCAAACCCCTCTCTTGTAGAAAAGGAAACTGTTCCAAATGATGCTGGCCAGTAGTGGGTGGGTGGGTGGGGGGAATCAAGGCCCAGGACCCCATACCATGCTCCTGGCTCAGCCTGATGGCCTATCACGCCTCAGTTTGGGAGAGGCCAGATTAGGGAAAGGGGAAGATGGCAGGAACAGGGGGCCAGACTTGGCCCCACAGGCTGATGCTGTAAACAGCTGCTCATGCAGCAATGAGATAAGAGTGGTCCGGCTGGTGATGGTTTCCTCCCCTGCCTTTCCTCAGGACCCATTTAGCCACGGATTCCACGCGTCCCACTCAGGTTCAGAGTGTCCACCAAAAACACTATGTTTACCTTCTCCAAAATCAAATGGCCACAGACACAGCATTTCTCAGCTGCCTCCTGAAACCCTGAAAACTAAGGAGAAAGAAAAGACCAAGGGAGTTGTCATTATAAGCTGAGAATGACCTGATGGGTGGGACCCCACGAGCCACCAAGAAGTCCCCGGGTGGGAGCCCATTCCAGGGCCAGGGGACCCCTCACTCACCAAATAATCTTCCTCACAGTACACGGAGCCATTGACGCTGTAGAAAGCCTTGCAGCGCAAAGTTCGCCCTAGAAGCAGCAGAGAAGTGCTGGAGGCAATCCGGGCCCAGGCACAGGGCTTCCCTGCTCCAGAGTCTGCTCCCAGTGAGGACGCATTTAAACCTGAACTTCAGAGTTTGTCCTCCGTCTGCTGCCTGTCCTCCCTCCCCACACAAAAGCCATCTGATGCAATTCCAATCTGCTTTGGTTTCATCCTTGCCAAATTCCCCTTTCCTCTGCTTCCTCTCCTCTGTTCTTCAGTTCCTGCTTCCTTAACAGTTTTCAGTGACCATCCCCTAAACCAGCACCCTCCTCTCCAGCACCCAGGGCATGGAAGCCATCTAAGAAAGCAGAACAACCAAGGCTGGGGTACGTGAAGGAACCCCGAGAACCAACCAAGGCTGGGGTACGTGAAGGAACCCCGAGAACCAACCAAGGCTGGGGTAGGTGAAGGAGCCCTGAAGGTTTGTGCACGCGCGAGGGACCATCATATCCAGGCCGTGCTCTCTGGGACCTTTCAACCAAGGAACCTCTCTGCCTGAGGAGAGCTACCCGGGTCTCCTAGCTGTCAGTCCCCTTCCGGAGAGGCTCTGCAGGGCAGGACAGTGCAGTGACTGCTGGGGACAAAGTGCTTTGTTTGCGAGCAGAGTTCGTCCCCTCTCCTTTCTTGCTCTACTCCACGTTTAAAGGCCCAAGGCAGCTTAATGTCTTCTGTGAGCAGTCAAGGCAGGACTACTCCCCATGTAACCAGCATCCAGAAACTAATCCAGGGGGTCTAAATTACCAGGGGTGCGGGAGGAAAGAGAACAGGGTGGCAGACAGGAGGGTTGCCCACCTCTGTCCTCTGCTCCTCAAAATCTCCACTTCCAGCTCTGCCTGGTGGTCTAGAAAAACTGGCTCAGAAACTCATGAGACACAAGGGTATAGAGAAAAGAGACGTATCCAGAAGGACAGACAGACAGATGAACCTAAAGAGAACCAGCCAGAGAGAGGTGCGGGGGTGAGAGAAGAGCTGAGCCCAGAGTCAGATAGGCAGAGATAGGAGATTAAAGGTTTAGCAAAGGAATCAGAGTGGGTAAGCAGTGGGGAGGGGGTAATGAGAGAGGTGAGGGAAGGGCTGGGAGTTAAGGGCGCTAGGAGCACCCCCCCTCCAGGCGGGCCTCCTGAGCTAACAGCAACGGGCATTCCTGGAGCGTGATGTCATCAGCTTGGCATGGCCTGGTGGCCTGCACTCTAGTGAGGTGGCTGAACTCTGACCAGCCAAGAGAAAACCCCCTCTCCGCCCCCCCATGGCCCCCATACTCCCCCAGCCCACCCCCACACCCCCCTTCTCACATTCCTATCTTTCACTGTCGCCCCAGGCAACTTGGCTGCCCAAGACCAAACCCCACCACCAAGAGGAGGCTGAGGCTGAGGGCCAGGCTGGAGTCCAGACTGGGCAAGCAGGGAGGCAGAAGAAAGGAGAGACAGAGGGGAGCAAAGAGGCTGAACAGAGGAAGGAGGCTTCACTTCAGAAAGCAGACCGCTGTGGGTGGGAGAGCCAGCGCTGTGGGGGTGGGGCAGGAGGGAAGGTGGGCAGCCGTGGCCTCCAGGCACATGGGGAGCAACTGTTCTGTGAACAAATGCGCAGGTCCCTGTGAGTGCACACGTGGGGTCTGGGGAGTGTCCAGAGGCGGGGTGGGGGGCTGCACTCACCACAGGAGCAGCAGACAAAGCACTGGGTGTGGTAGAGGCTGTCCAGGGCCTGGCAGGCGTTGCTCTGCCCATAGATGCCTTTGTTGCACTTGATACAGGTGCCTGCAGGAGAGAAGAGGCTGTCAGCATCACTTCCTACTCCCCCAGCTCCAAACTAGGGGCTCTCAGTCTTTTAGGCTCGCCAGTCCCTTTAGCAAGCTCCCTCTGGGAAGAGAAGGTACTGAGGAATGGGCTGCAGCAAGGTCTTGGCTGGGCAAATCCATTCATGTTTACTGATTCATCAACAGATATTTTCTGAACATCTATTTTGTGCCTAGCAAAAACGTTGTGCCCAGTACTGTGGAAAACTGGAGAAAGTCAAAGATACAGTCCTGCTCCCTGACCTTCAGATGCTTAGTTTCTGTTGGGGAGAAAAGACTAAACAGGCAAGGTACTATCCCTGTAGCACTGTGTGGGACAAACAGAGATACCAGTCCATGAGGGCCCCGCAGCAGACTAAAAAACTTCCCAGAGAAAGCAGGCTAGACCCAGAAAGCCTCTCTGAGATCTTGGTTTCCCCATCTGTAAAAAAAAAAAGCTGCTATTCAGCTATAGAATGACTTCTCTGCTCCGCACTTCCAGGCTTCCAAGGAAAGCAAGAAGGATCCGGCCCAGCAGAGGGCCCTGTGCAGAGGGGACCACGTGAGCGTGACTCCTGTGGGGAGGTGGCTGCTGAGAATGCAGGGTGTGTTCTGGGGTTGAGGGTTGCATAGGAAGGGGGAAGGGTGGCAGAACCCCTAATGTCTCCCTGTCATCTTCTATCCACAGGAGGGACAGAGCTGAACTACCTTCCCTGATATGCCACCCCTCCCCCCCCAAATACACACACCTGGCTCTGGCACCCGCCTTTCCTGGGTGTGTTCTTTCCTCCCTCCACTCCCCAATTCCAGGCTCATGAGTGAGGGTTAGGGCCTGTCTTTGGGGAGCAGATCCCAACGGGCCCGCCTCACCCTACCCCACCTCTCCCCCTCGGCACTGTGCCACACTCCTTGCCTGTTGGGGCCCATCCCAGTCTTTGCCCAGGGCCTTGGGAGCCCGTGCAGCAGCTGCAGCGACTGATGGGCCCAGGCCTGTTCTGCTCCCACCCTCCGGCAGCTGGGCAAGGCTGGAGCCAAGGAAGTGGGCCCCTACCGGGGACAGGAGAAGGAGGGTCCAGTCAGGCTGGGGGTTCTGTAGAGGCAGCCTGACCACTGGGAGAAGTGGCCTCCCCTCTGAAGTCAAAATGTGGCATCTCATGTGAGGGCAGATTTGCCCCGTGACTGCCATGCCAGCGGGGCCCGCTGGAACCATTCCTTTGGGAAACCTTGGACACTATGAGAAGACAAGAGCAAGCTGCTCAGGCATGTCCACCCCACCAACTCTCACCCAGCAGGTCCACACCTATGTTCTTCCTGCTCCTTATCCTGCACTCTCCGAGTGCTCTTCTTCCTTTCAGCTCTGATGGTTTAGCCAAAGAAATTTCTATCCACCCAGTAGCCACTTCTCCTGGGCTTCAAACGGAAACTGTTAAAAAGATCCTGTTGCTTAGTCTCCCTTGACCAAAGACCATCTGAAGGCTTTCCTCTCTCAGGATGGGAAACTGGGGTTGAATCAGGCAGGGCCCTTCCAAGCCCACAGCCCTGCTACCTCTGAGTCTCCTCCCAGCCTGTCTTCCCCCTTGCTCTGTTCCTTTCCCTACTCACACTTCCAGCACAGGGGTCTGTGTGGGTCACAGTGCGGAAACATGGACGGTGAAAAGTGAGGAGAGGCCTGGAAAACTGCAGAGGCCCACCGCCCTGGGGGTGAGGTCTCCACTTCTCTCTGTACTTCCTATCACAATCAGAGTGAAGTGGTGCCTGTGGGTCTTGGTTAGATGATCACTGGAGACTCTACTATCTCCCCGACTCTCTAGCACCCCCACAGCAGAGGCGCACTCCAATGAATGCTTCCTAAAGGTAGGAAGGGACCAGCGGCCAGGTTTCCGTAATAGCAGTAGCTAGTAAAGGGCTGCTTCTAGTCTGAATTCTAAGCAGGTTATGGCTAAAACTGAAGGCCAGACTATCTCTGGTAGTTACACGGGGTCTTCATCCATCCACCCAGGGGCGATGGCATCCCGGGGACATGGCTTCTGGCCCTGACTTCCGGAGAATGGGAAAACAAGCTAAAATGCCCACGCCGGTGCCGAGCCAGGTCTCAGGCAAGGCAGCAGTAGCTCCCTGCTCTCCATCCCAGGAGCTTCATCCTCCCTTCCAGGCTCCATTTCCCGGACGGTAGCCACTGCTCCGCGCGTGCTAGGAAGCGGCCCCCAGCCCCCCGCCCTGCCCCCTGCGCCGCGCGGCGAGCCCCGCCCGCAGGCACCTGGAGCGCCCGGGCAGGAGCCGGCACGCACGCGGCGCGCCCGGCCGCCCCCCCACCCGCGCATTCCCCGAATTCCTGCGGGCGGGGCCAGAGCCCGGGTGGGGGCGCGGCGCGCAGAAGCCTGCAGGGGCACCGCGGAGAAGGGGGGAGCGAGATGGGGGAGTCGCTCGCAGCCTCACTTGGTCCCCTCCCTACGATGCCCCCTACAGCAAAACACCGAGGCTCTCAAGATAGCTGGGAAGGGTTGAGTGCAGCAGGAATAAGGAACCCCGATCCATAAGAAACCCCGATCCATATAAAAACCCTCTTGCAGTTTTCCAGTCCCGCGTCTCCACCTCCAACTCCTCCAACTCCTCGGGATTCGCAATGTGGGCCATCAGGGCAGTGGGGGGCCGAACGCAGGCGGCGGCGGGTCCCGTCCCGTCCCGAACCATTTTTCCTACTCACCGAAGTAGTCTTCTCTGGCCTCCGGCTCCCGCATCCGGGCCCGGGTGACCTCCGGGATGAAGGCACCGGGTGGCTCCTCCAGACCCGACGGCTCAATCCCCGAGTGTTCCCTGCGGGCGCCGGCTTCTCGCCCACCGGTGCCCACCGTCAGGCGCAGCAAAGCTGTTAGCTCATCCTGGTATCGGGCGCCCGCGGCGCAGTCCCCGTAGCCGGTTACGGAGTGTCGTCCGGGTTGCGCCCCTCGTCTCTCCAAGGGCCCTGCCGCTCCAACTCCAGCCCCGGCGAGAGCTCCCGGGCTGCCCAGGGCCGGGGGGTACGAGTGGCGGCTTTCCTGGCAGCCGAACCCCGCGGGCCGATGAGCGCACAGTCGGTCCAGGGCGGCGTGGAGCTCCGGGTAGGCTGACGGCACCCCTCCGGGGGAATAGCCCGCTGGAACCCCGGCCAGGGGTGGGCCGAACAGGCATGGCCCGGCGGGCAGAGGACTGCCGTGGCGCTGGTCATAGCCCATGCTGATGCCGCTGGTACGGTTGCTGCAGGGTCGGCTGCCTCCGGCTCCGCCAGCCCCCGCCCCGTCCAGCAGCAGGCTGCCCCGCGGGCTGGACGGCTTGCTCGCGTCGCTGGCTGAGCTACTGGCGAAACTGGAGCGGGGGCTTAGGGCTGGGGCCGAAGTCTCCAGTCGAAAGTCGGGGGGCAGTGACTGAGGTAGAGGCAAGGCGCGGGTGGGAGGCGGCCCCCCGGGAAAGGAGCCTTCGTAGCGCTGCGCCTCAAAGGAGCCGCGCGGGTTCCGCTCAGCGTCCAGGGGGCCTTGCTCCCGGGCTGGGTCCAATGGCTCATCCCCAGGTGCCCCAGTAGCTCCACGGGGCCCTGATTTCCTAGGTCCCCCCAGCCCACTCTGGCGCCCCTTGCCCGGGCCGGGGGTCCCATCAGACCCTGACCGGCTAGATTCACCCTTCCTGCGGCCGAACTTGGCGCTGCCGGAGTCCGAAAGTCTTAACTTCTCCAGCAGGCGACTGGCTTTCTCCCCTAACCGCTCCATGCCCTCGGGCCAGGGGCCTCCTGCCCCCACCCCGCCCGGCACCCTGCAGCGTCTGGGCTGCCGCTTCTCTTTCCCCGCAGCCGGACTTCGGCTCCCCAAGGGGCACAGGGTAGGCACAGGAGTTCAGTGGGCGGCCCGGATGCCCGGTGCCAGGAGCTCCACAGCATCCCCCAGCGAGAGGGGCTCCTGCCCCCCGCGCATCAGGGGTTCAGCGGGGCTAGCGGGGCCTGCCGCCGCGGCTGTCCGGTCCGCAGGTCTATCTGTTGAGGCATCGACTACCCCGGCCACCCCACACTCCCGAGCCCCCGCCCCCTCGCTCTCACTCTCAGCTCAGACCGAACTTCTCTCCCAAACTTTTGTCTGCCTGGCCGGATCTACTTTGCGGGAGGGGCGGAGCGCCGAGTGCGAGAGGAATGGGGGTGCCCGCGCAGGGATCTCTGCTGCGCGGGGAAGTGGGTGCGGGCGCTAACTGTCCTGGAGGTGGAGATCCGCCGACGGCCGGCGAGAGGAGGGCGAGGGGCATTTTGGGCCGCTGCTACTGCATCACTCAAGGATTGGAACAGGAAAAAGTGGGGGCGGGGGGCGGGAACTCTTTGTTTGCAGTTGGAATGCGCGGAGGGGTACTGTGGAATGTCGAGGTCTGAGACCGGGCGGCGCGAGGCATGTTCTGCGCAAACACCGTGACTTTGTTCCTAGTGTGGGGAGCGGTGGGGTTGCTGGAGAGATTGTTAGAGAAGTAGCAATGCAGGGAGAAAGAAGAGAGGTAGATCCACAGGGAGGTTAAGAGACGCTAAGAACCCCAAAAGGCGAGAAAACCCTGGTAGAGAAGAGGTGGAAGACTGATAGCGTTAGAAAGGGAGAGCACAGCCAAGGGGCTCGTCGGTGGCGGAGCCCGAAGGATGACGGAACTGACGGGAAAAATCGTGCATGTTCAGAGAGGAGAGGCAAATAGATATATTGCCATAAAAAGACACCACTTCTTCAACCCAAGGCTCTGTGATGGGAGGGAGCTTTGATGTCTATGTAAAAGTGAGGAAAAGGTTTGAGACCCATCTCTGCGTTCAGGGTAGGACAGAGTGGGGTAGACAAACACCCCCTGGTGTTGGGAAGTGAGATTTTTAGCAAATATTTCAGGTGACTCGGTTTAGAAGACCTGGTTTTAGGTCCAGTGAAAGCCCAGTGTTCTCCCCCACCCCCCTTGGTCTGGCCCAAAGGAGATGGTAAGTAAGAGGAAGTATTGCGAGGAAGAGGGAGAAATCTTTAGAGACAATGGCAAGTAAAAACAAGAGTGGAAAAGGAAAAGTGGTTAATATTGGCTATACTAGAAGGATCGAAAATAAATAAAAGAAGCCATAGCAGAGGCTGAACATACTTAATTAAATGCCAGCCAGCTGACTTTGCCCAGACTACTGCATCAGGAGCAAGAGTCAGGGGAAGAAAATTGGAGAAAGAAAACGACTCCTTTGTATTTAGATAGTAAATGAGTATGAGAATTATATGCAAACAAGTCATGCATATTATTTTCATCTCAACAATTTGAACACCTTTTACAATCTTAGTGTAGCCTTAAGGAATGGGGTAGGAAAGATGGCTAATATCTTTGGGGAAATTAATTTATCACAAACTATTTGGCTGTGTTGTCCTAGCCACACTGTCTCCCTGACCTCATTTCTCCGGAGAATCACCTTCTGTGTTTCCCCCGTCAGGTCTATAGCTTTTCTCTCACCCAAAGGAGCATTACTGTCAAATAGGTGGCAGGAGAGCTAAGGGCATTTGTAGCAAGGGGAACTGGCTGTCAGGTCGCATCCAGAACCTGCTGCAAACCTCAATTAACCATAAAGCTCGCCCTCCGTCCCTGTCTCCAGGTGGGAAAGGGGACCACGGATTCTTTCATCTAATTACTTACATCTGACCTGTCCACCCAGCTTCTAATATTTGGAAGTGTTGCTCCTCTGGGGTGAGGATGGGAATAACTCTTAGGAAAAACTGAGAAACCCATTCTAGGAGTCGGTGGTGGCAGCAGTGGGCACAGTTGGGATGAAAGACCTGTTTTCAGGGCTGAGGAAGCAGAGCCAGGTAAGGAGAAAGGTGGCAGGACGTGACGTGCAGCAGTAGTGCTCTACCGTCCCCAGTCTGAACTGGAGCCAGGAGCCCACAGGCCCTCACCGCCATCACCACAATGTGATTACCACCTCTATACACAGATGACTCCCAAATCCGTATCTCTAGCCCAGATTTTCTTAGACTTAAAAACTCAACTGACATCTCCACTTGGTTGTCTGAGATATAAAACACCCTCAACTGACTTCATCTTCCCGACCTCCCAGAACTGGCTCCTCCAGTATTCCTTGAGTAAATGGCACCACTTAGCTGCTTAAGCCAGAAGCTTGATGTCCTCTTCCCAAACCTCAAATCCAACCAACTCCCATCAATTCATCCTAAATACTTTTCAAATCTGTCTGTATATCCTCATCTTCTGTATATGGCAGGCTTTTCTCTCTGAACCACAGCGGGAGTCTCCCTGCCAAGTCTTTATCCCTCCACCCCATCTTACACTTGAGGTCAAGTAATGCTTCTAAAACACAAAGCTTATCATATGGTTTCCCTGTTTCCAGTTTTCCAGTGATTGCTCATTGCCCTTGAACGATCAAGTCTACACTCTTTATTTTATAAGGTCTCTACCTCTCCAGCTTCTCTCTGCATCTTCCCCTCCTCAAATTGTTCTGCAGTGAAATTTCACCTTGTGTGTGTTCTCTTGTCTCTGGAGTTTTGTTCTTTCCATTGTCTATGTCTGGAACACTTTTCTGGCTCCTGGCCTCCCCTTCCTTTCTGGTTAACTCCTCCCCATCTGTCAGGTATCTGTTTGAACACTGCTCTAACAGACCGCAGGAGTATGGTCGCTCTCCATGCTGCACACTGCCATTGCACCCTACACTCTCCTGCCGCCACCCTGACCACAGTTCATTTCATTGCTTGCTTAACTGCTTGGGTTCCTGACTGGACAATAAAATATCTGGTCACTAACTGACCAATATGTCCATAGCACCTAGCACAGTATCTTCACCTAGTAGATCGTCAATATTTTGTCCACACAAAATGAACACATTTTCTGTGGTGTGTGCATGCATCTACGTGCATGTGCACACACACACACCTTCAAAATACAAGCTTAGCTGACAGGACTAAGAAATAGCTACAAGCCCTACATAGACTGCTTAGTCACATGGTGGGAGAGCACCTGCTGGTGAGATGTGGGAATACTTTAAGCCTTAATCTCTCATGTGTAATATGGGAATAATAAAATCTGCCTTCTATAATTCAATAAACAATAGCTATAATAACTAGATCCCAATTCCCAAAGTGTCTTGTTCAGAAGACTCAAGCCCATGGCCAAAACTGCCCACCAGGTGGCAGTGTTACCCTGGACTGCTCCAGTGCAGCTTCCACTGCAGAGCATGGCCAGCAGGGCTGGGGAAGCAGAGGTCCAACACAGCTGTTTCCCAGGGCTTTGAGGAAATGGGCAAAAACAACTCAGAGACCGGGGTATGTGTTAAAAAGGTCTCATGTTTCCTAGACCCACCCTCCACTTCTCATCCCAGGTTCCTCTGAGGCACTGTTTATGCTTAGGACTAAGCATTGTCTGTCTTGCCGTTCACAGTGAGGGAGTTTTCTCTCTTCTAGATGTGACCCTTCTTTCTTTACCTACCAGGGCTGCCAGTCTCCCCTTCCGGTGGGGCCTGTGTTAAGAAGAGAGGCAGATTTGCTTTCTCAGACTGTATGGGAACCACCCACCATCCTGGGAAGCCTTACTGCCACCCACAGTGACATGGGAGCGGCAGGTCTTGGGCTCGGTTACGGGTTTCACTCATCCTTTTCCACCTTGATTTCTATGAATGAGTTCAAGTCAAGGCAGCAGGTTTTGTGGGGTTGGTCAAAAGATGGGGAGACAGATCCATTCTCATCACCTCCCTTATCTTCCTCTTCTTGAAAATTAGGATTGTAAAGGTCTGGTGGGAGGAGTTGGGCTTCAGCTGAAGGTAATCGGTCTGAAGGTGGCCCATACACACGGTTGGCTTTAGTGCCATGCTTTGAGTTGGCATCCAGGTGGTAGCAGAGCTCTGTGAGGCGCTGGGCCCGGAACCGGGGTGGCCGGGCCACCCAGACGCCTGGCTCATTAAGACTGTCCTCTTCGTCTGACATTAGCTCTTCAGTCACATCCTTCCACAGGCGCTGGTCCTCAGGTCCAAAATGCTTCATGATACTGGATCGATTGGCAAAAAGCTGAGGGAGGAGCCCAAGATGAAGGTTAGGATGAGAGACAAAGTATGGGTAAGGTTTGGGGAAAGGATCTGAGTGGGGTGAAGACTGTAACATCTGTGCTGGGAGAACCCAGCCCACAAGGGAAGTCTGAGAACTGACTCCCCCCTCCTTCTTTATCTGCTTGACATTCCTGGCTCCTAACCCTCAGCTGCCATATGTGTGGCGCTTTCCATTGTGGTTAATTAGGGTTACAGCTTAGCATCCAAAAAGACGGCCTTGAAACCTACCCGGTATCTTCGACTTCGAAGTTTCTTCTCCTCTTTTTCCTTTAGGCCTTTAAAAGGGTTCAGAGAGTTGCGGTATTCACGCCTCTTAGTAAGGAAATAGGCCACACAGGCTCCTGTGGGAAGGGAGCAGAAAACAGGGTCCTCAAGCGCCCTTTTCTCCTGCCCTCACACTACTGGCTGGGAGGGTGGAGTCACTAATTAGATGAGGCTTTTGGGGTACTGATCACCAGCAGCATCTGTCTATTCCTCTTTGGTTTAGCTCTCGCCAACAGCAACTCCTCCATATCTTCTGCTAAAAAGGGACAACCCCAGGTGCTCCCGTAATTTTCCCCCACTTCCTACTCCTAGTCTACGTTTCTGTTAGTGGATTGCAAGTACATTTTTAGCAGAAGCTTTCTTAATACGTCAGGGTTAGCCACAGACCAAAAAATGAGCAAGGAAGGTAGAAAAGGCAGGGTTATTAATACTTAGGGAAAAAAGGGCAGGTCTGGATTCTGACCTCCTTTTCCTAACATCCTAGATTCAGGCCTTTTCCGCTTTCCACTCTGATTCCAGAGTGAGTGGGGGAATAAAAGAGGCAATTAGAGGTAATCCTGTAAATATTGTAGCTGAGAAGAACAGTCAAAGACTTTAAGTCCACTATTTTCAAAACCACCTAAATCATCTCCATTATGCCTTTTTCTCCTCTGACCAAGAACAGGGAATGGAAAAAGGATAAAGTGGGAGTTAGCTCAGTTTTTCTCACCTTTCAGCTCCTTATCAGTATAATTGTGAGGACTGGTCACCAGCTCCTGCTTGAGCTTTTCCAGAAGGAACTTCACTACTGAAATATTCCAGGATGACTTGATGCTGCCACAAAGAGAGTGGTTATAAGGCAGTCAGCTTTTTAGGAGCCAGACAAACAGATTCCCAGCACTGATCAAATTTGTGGTAGATTCCTCCGTGGCTGGCAGCAAGATACAAGGGGCAACAGTGCATCCAGGGCTTAGCCTGGCCTGGTCCTGGACAGCCCCTTTGGCTCCCTCTCCTTGGCAAAGTACCTGGTGACTCTTTTCCCTCAGGAGAATCATACCTTTCAGACCCATTGAACCTCTTGTCATTGGTGATGTGGTTATGCACATTGTGGACCAATTTCTAGGGGGAAAAAACAAACACAGAATCAAGCGAGGAGTGGATATGATGAAATCCTCCTCTGGTCTCTAGACACTGACCCTACAGGGGTCTCTGCCTGAGTCCTTTATTGTGTGGGAATCACTGCTATCGGTGATCTTTCCTAATCAGAGAGACTTTCCAAGGAAGTGTTTCTAGCGGAATTCCCCCACCCACCCCCACTTAGTTTGTGTCCAGACTCTGGGATCATCCCTGGCCTCACTTGTCACTCCTGGGGCTCCAGCGTTCCCACAGCATACTCCTAGCAGCAGAATGAGTAGCCGCGAGGGTTACTGCAGGGGCCACTTCTTGAAACCCCTACTTTTGCAAGTTTTCAAATTTTCTTCACAATATATCTGTATGTCTTTTAATATAAAGATGTCTTCTAAAATTGTCTAGTAAAAACGATGACTAAGGAAATTGGCCCAGTTTTGTCCACGGCTTTACATACCCCTTTGCTTATTCCCACAGACCTCAAGGGGCACACATGCCATGGCCTGAAAAGCACAAACCTAAAGTCACAGAAATGCGAAATGGGAAGGACTCTTGCCCTCCTCCGCCTTTCTGCTCACGTCGCTGAACACTGTCTTTCAGCTTTGCTTATGCACCTTCACTGGTGGGCTCTTGCTGCTTTTTTAGTCAGCCCATTCTATTGACCATCTCTGTCAAATTTTTTTGCCTTAGATGCTCCAAAATGTGCTTATTATAGCACCTGAAATATTGAAAAGAGTTTTCATATATGCCCCAAGTCTTCTCTTGTTCCAATACCCCGAAGTCCTGCAGCCATTCCTCATCGCAAAAGGCAGCCAGAAATAAGTCTGACTCATCAGTTGGGGTCTGGCCAAAGGGAGCATTATGTCCCTGCGAGGGAGCCCACCTTCTAGGGGTGAAACCTGAGCTGGTGTCACCTTTCTGAACAGCTCTGTCCCCACTCACAGTGTCACAGGGCTCCTTCAGAGGACACGGGAGTCAGCTCAAACCCAGGTTCACATGGATGACTGTCTCCACCATCTGCCACTGATTCTTTAAACTTTAAGGTAGGACTTTACTTTTCTTTCTAGTGTGTTTAGTTTTGTTGTTTCTGATTATATTTTCATCTCAAGCTCCTTCAGTCACTACCCAGTCCCAAGCTGATGGACTCATGTTCTGATCTCAGGACTTCAGCTTCATGTTTGAAAATCCCTACATTTGTCCTTTTACCTCCATGGCCAACTGACCCTACCAACTTAGCCATCAGTTCTTTATGGTGAGGGTCTCCACTATAAAAAGGACTGATCTTGTAATAGCTTATTTTACCTCTGAGAAGTCCAAACTTACAAAATCATAACAGATGGGATGACTGCTTCAGAAAGATTTTGAGTTATAAAAAAAGAAAAAAGGCTGGGGGTGTTGCATACTTTCAATTCAAGTGGCTTAGAAAAGATCAGCTGATAAAAATCAAACCAGGCTTGAAGTGGAAAGGGAAAATACTCTAGACAATAATAAGTGTTAAGACTAAAGACTGCTGGCTCACCTACCTCCTGAGTGAGCTAAAAATAGACACATTTCCCCAGTGGGTGGCTGGGATGGGCAGCATTCCAAGGAGCTGAGAGTTCTGGGTTGGCCCTTTTGGACCATGACAGCCTCAGCAAACTGGATAGATGCATCCCCCATTCCTCTGCTGAGTTAAAGGTTGGACTGGTGAAGAGCAGCAACTCTTCCCCCTAACCCACGACTGGTAGAAAGACACTTAAACCTTCCTCTGTGATAGGCAGCAAAATTCCCTGCTGAGATTGCCAGCTCCACTGAGCTCTGCAAAGGCCAGGAAGGAGGCAGAGCTCTGGCTAGAGGCAGTAGTCAGGGAGAAGAAGAAGAAGAGAATGACTGGAGGGCCTGACTTTATGCAAATTAAGATCATCACATATTTATTTATGATTTAAACACTATAAAGTTTTGGGAAATCCCTTGAAATGCATTTCTAGGAATATGCTTCCATTTGTATCAGTGACAGCAAAAATGAATGGACTGTTTGAGTTAGATAGTCAAAACACAGAAACTAACCCCGTTCCCTGGTTTGATAAGGAAGCTGATTATATTTCCTGAATATAATCAAAATTTGAAATGAAGGTTACAAACAAGTTGGTACTAACTACAAACAGTGTCTTCCTTCTCTGGGGGGGTGGGGAGGGGCGAGGTGGGGATTCCCACAATGAAAAACAAATAAAAGGGAAAGTAAGAGAAGGGACACTTAAAAAAGGAAAAGGAAGAAAGCAGTAATTTAAATAAAGGAGATATAAATGGTAAGCAACTGTTCTCACTCTTTACTAAGACTATAACAAGAAGAAATGGGCTATATTATATAATGAGCTTTAGGCTGAATGGACTCTCAAGTTCCTATCAGCCATTATCCAGAGAATGGAAACCCCATTACAGACAATATGAACATTCTCGAGCCAAAGAAAACCCTATGAATATGACACAGATGCTCTGGGACACAGAATTAATCTGAAGGGCTAAAGATCACCCTAGAAGAGGGTTTCTCAACCTCATATTGCTGATATTTTAGGTGGGATGTTTTGTGGGGCCATTCTGTGCAGTGTAGGGTATTTAGAATGTCTCTAGGACTCTAAGCCACTCCAAGATTTCAGGAAGAACTGGTTTAGGTCAGTACCTTCCCTGCCAAGAACTCTTGGAATGGCTCGAATCTCTAAATCTCAAAAACTGAGCCGAGTGTCTTGTAGCCCTCTGCATCCTTAGGATTTGTGACCACCTCGGGCAGCTTGGCTTTTTCCCCAAGGGGCCCCCTGCTGCTTAACCTGCACAACAGCTAACCTGCCCTCAGGTAGTCAATCTACCCAACCCCTTGCAGATTTTCTCAATAGGATTATTAGATCATTGGGAGATGGAATATAATTCCCTTCTCAGTCTATCCGGAAGAGCCTAAAAACATTTCCATTGTCCGCAAGGAGATACCTACCCCTAAGACTGAACAATTTGCCTCTCTGTACCCTTCCCACTCAGAAGGATTCAGGACACCATTCATGCAAGAGAGTGGTTTAAAAAAAAAAAAAAAAAAACCACACCTCCCTCTTCACTTCTCTCTCCAATTGAAGAAAAATTTATAAAATTGAGCTCACTTACTGAAAGAACCAGATCCCGCTTGCGCCTGGAGTTCTTCTGCCCAGTCCCTCTGGTCCTGCACGGGGAAGCAGTGAACCCTAGAGAGTGCCGCAGCTCCCCAGTTCCCCCAGGGCCTGACTCTTCCAAGGCACCATCCAGAGCCACAGCAGCATTGAGCATATCCTCTGGCCGGGGCGGTGGCAGCTTGGCTCCATTTTCTGGCCCTGTCTCTGAGGTTGCCCACTGGATGGCCAGTTGTGTGGCTGGTGAGAGCTGCCTAGTGAAAGCAGGGACCAGCACTCGCTGTACTGCACCCTCAGAGGCCACATAGTCATCCACCAGCTAAGAAGATGAGAAAAAAAGAGAATAGCCTATTAGCCAGCCAGACTTAGGGGAAGCTAGTCAACCTTCATTCTGTGCAGAGGACAGAGAGCAAGGAGGGAGGCAGAGGACTCCAGCACAAGTCCCCAAGCTTGTCTCAGGGACACCAATGGGAGCACTGGCCAAGGCTTCTCGTGTACAAGGCCTCTCACGTCGGGGCGTTACCACGTTACCATTGGACTGATTACAAGGACAGGGCCTGTTTCCCACGCTCTATTTGTGAGGAGTCACTTGCAATTTACTTTTGGGTACAAGAGTTGTAGACAGGTAAATGTTTTTTCTAGAAGGTTTGGGGGGGAAAGTGATGAAAAGAAAGGAGAACCAAGCAAGAAAAGGAGCAAGAAAATAAAATAGCAGCAACAGTAAAGAGGAGAAAAATGGAAGCAAAGGAGGGAGATGTGAAATCAGAAATCCCTAGAGCCTGGCACTGACTGCTCCTCCCTCCCTTTCTGTGGGGCCGGGGTGCCCTCCATGGGACCCCACCCTGCCACCTCTGACCTTCACTGCTTGCCTGCCTGTGCCCTCACTCAAGGACATACAGGGCAGGAAATGGAAAGGAGAGACGGAGAAGAAGAAAAGGGAGGGGGGGATTTCTGCAGCCAAGAAAACAAAACAGTGAAAGTGGGGGGAAAAAAACAACACAGAAAGAAACGGGGGAGGAGGCTGAGATTTATAGACCTGTGAGCTGCTTTCTGCGCTGTGAAATCTAATTCCATCCTGCCGGCTTGGAAGCCTTCCCTGCCTGAAGAACCGCAGCTCAGGGCACCGCCTGGCCTGGTACCCCACTGTTTCCTCCACCTTCTCAGTTCTTCCTCCAGCACCTATGGTCCTGGCAGGCACAGGCTAGGGTGAGCAGCAGCAGCCATTACCCGCAGGGCCTGGACCTCAGAGAGCAGTGACCAGTCACAGTGTCACACTGGAGAGGCCCGGGAACTGGACAGATTCCTCTCGGGTCCAGCAGCAAGGCTGGAAGGTCCAGCCCTGCACCTACCCTATAGATTCTGTTCCTTTTCTCTGTGCCTGGGAGTTTGGGGAGTAAGAAAAGAGAGGGGCGACAGGAGAGGTGACAAAACTCCCATTGTCTCCCAAGTAGCAACACACCTGTTATTTTCCCACCTGTATGATCTCAATAGTTGCTCCATCTCCTTTTCATGTATTTTTATGTGTGATAGTTTGTAGTTTTTACGCTACTCAGCCAGGAGTTTCCTGCTCACATGGCCCTGAGCAGTAAAGAAACTGAAACAGACAATGCACTTCTGTGTCTTTTCCTGCTCACAAAATCTGTGTGTCTGCTTCCCCCCTGTCCCCTTCACATTTTTCTTACTACTGACTCTCGTTGTCCATTCCTTTGCCTCATTTCCTTTCCTTTCCTCTCATGTGCACCTTGCTTCACATTCTTCTTCTCTCTTGCACAAATTCTCTTTCCATTTCACCTTTCTTCTAGGCTCTTTTCCTCACTTGTTCTTCTTCCTTCGCCCTCCCTTCCTACCTGTCTCCTCCCCCCCCTTCCATTTGTCTTGTCCCTCTCTCCTGTCTCTCTCTCTCCTCTCCATTCCCATCTCTGCGTACTGAATTCCTCTTGCCAAGCAGAGGGCCCGTGATAAAATATGAATGAGCCGTCTGTGCACCGCAGGCACTCTCGCCAGGAGAGGCAAAGCCCAGCGCGCAGCTGCGCCAGCGGTGGAGAAGGTGCCACGGGGAGCTACTGGAGGGCAGGGCGCCCCCACACCACACACACACCAGAAGGCAGGCACCTCCTGCCGCAGAGGCTGAGGATTCAGCAAGAGAACAGGAGTGCCGGCTCTCCCGCAGGTCCAGGAAGCCTTCTTAGTAGCCTTCTGATTTCTCACAAATACAACCAAGAGAAAGTTAAGGTTGGAAAGAAAATAACGGGAGAAAGAAGAGCGCAAGGCCAGCAAAAGCAAGAGAGCAACAACACGCAAGTTCTGCAGGTGTCATACTCACGGGATTGAGGACCGGGGCCCCCTCACTGGGAGCCAGGGCACATGCTGGGAGCCGCAGGTCCCTCTGGGTGCCAGGGAAGCCCAAAGGCCCGGGCGCCCCGGCCGAGGCCGCCCCCAGCTGCGGCAGCTCTTCCATCACCACCTGCTCGCCTCCGGCCATGTCACACTCCTCCTCCGCGGCAGTCCCAGGCTTGCAGGCTTCCCCGGGGCTCTCCTTGAAGGGCCCCTGCTCCTCAGGAGGGGAACCATGTGCCCGGCTCTCCCCCTCTTCCTCAGGAGCGGGCACTTTCCCTTGCCTCAGCTCCCCCACTTCCTCCTGGAGACGTTTTAACAGTTCGTTGTTGGCCCTGGCGAGACCCAGAGCAGCCTCGGCCAGACCCACCGCCTTGTCCACGCGCTGGTAGATGATATGCAAGAGCTGCTCTGAGCTCTGAACGGCCAGGCCGTGTCCGGTCACTGTGATAGGAGTGCTGGCCGGAGGGTTCCCGCCCTGAGAGCTGGTGCTGCCGGTGCAGGTCTCGCTCTTACAGGCACAGCAGCAGCATCTGGCCTCGCTGCCGCCAGGCGGGGAGAAGAGAATAGTGGCACTGAAGGACATGGCTGCCGCAAGCAGTAGCCACCTTGTCGCACTGCCTGGTTGCTCCAAGAGGTGTGACCCGGGTGCACTGGGCTCCGCACGTTTGGTATAAGCACTGGCCTCTCTGCATTTACTTTCCTTCCTCATGGAGGGTGACCGGAGGAGACCGAGCACTGGGCTGCGGGTTCTGTGAAGGAGCAGGCTCGTCTTGAAGGAGCACACAATCCATGGCTGCCTCTCCTCAGCCTGCACACCTTGTGCTTCCCGGCACAACACGCTGGGGGTCACATTTGCCCCTTATTGAAAAGGGGGTGCCTAATAAAAAGGCCTTCCTGATGAACGAGCCTCAGGGGGTAAAAGGCAGTCTTCCTGTATCCCAGTGTGTACCCCCCTACAGCCACCTAAGGAACAGAGAGGGGACCCAAAATACCCACCAGCATCTGGAAAGATTAGATGGTTAAGGAAGAAAATGGAGATTTTGCTTCTGCATATCTTTGCTGTAATAATGGTAAGGCACCTTACTGCTTTGACATGCTTCCTTAAGGAATTCAGAGCACTTCACTTCACTAGGTCATCTTAGATGTACAACAGCTACAGGAAACACACATTACCTCAGGTCCAGAGAAGTTATATATCTTTTTCAAGGTCAGAGGAAGACAGCAGATTCCAGTTATTGCTACTTTCAATCTAGTGTTGGGTTTTTTTACTGATACCACTTTTTGTTGACATAAAGAGTCATGATTCCACCCTCCCTATAATATTCATACAGATGGATTCAGAGTGAGATTCCTAAACAAGGCCACAATGCTCACTATAGCCCACCCATAGCACCAACCTCTCACTATTATATCGTTAATGTCTGCGGGTGGGGTAGGGAAAAGAAACAAAAATCTGATCAGAGATCTGAGCTACGGGGACCCAGGGTGGCACAACCCTCTTGCTCTCATTGTTCTGTAATAGCCTCCCTCTTTGCAAAGGGAACTGCTGGCCTACCGGGTGCTGCAAGCGGTCAAAGTGTAGCACTATGAAGCTATCACAGTCACTGCAGCATGAGTTTGATCCCCACCCCCATCACTCCGGATTGCTCCAGCCAACAGCCCAGAGAAATCACCTCTGGTGTCCCTCATCTCCACCTCTCAGCTATCCCAAGGGAGGAGCCTAAGCTCAACAGGAATGTCCAAATACCTAAGTACCACCACTTTGTCCCCCAGACCAGCCCCCATAAAAGGAGAAACCAGAATATCAATGATGAGCCAAATTGCTTCTCTTTTGAATCACTGTAGTTAAGCAAGTAAACTACTCTAGGAGTGAAGAAAAAGCTTGTAGGGTGGGATTGTACCACTGAGAACACTCCAAAGAGCTTCCTATTGTCATTTTCTAAATGATACTTGATTATAAAAAATAGAATCCTCCTGCCTGAAGCTCCGTAAGTGACAAAACCGCAAGTATGTTTACAATTTTCTCAAGAGAAATATTTGTTTTATCTTATAAATTATATCATAACATCACAATTAAAAAGGAGAAAGTTAGGAAAATTTTCTATATATTGAGATTTGAGGTAGGTTTTTTTTTTCTTTTTTTGAATTAGCAATCTCATTTCAGAAACAGGCAACATCAATGCCTCTGAGATACTGAAACGTAAATCTGATAATGCATTCTAATTACATTTGGTTATTAAAGAATAGTCTTTAATTTGCTCTTTCTACCCTTTATATAGAAGAAATGCTTTTCTGTGCCAGATATTCACTTCTTGCAAGAACTTAACTCAAATCCATTTACAGTTTCTCTGCCATTAGAGTCACTGGAAGGCATAGCTAAACCTCAAACTAAAGGTTAAAGCCAAATTAAAACTAAAGGTTAAAGGAAAGCACTAAGCAATTCCTATGTCAATTTATGAATGAATCATTTAAATATTCTTTTCCTTCCTAAATAAGGGCTTATACGCTCCTGCAGGGCTTTTAATTTTTTTAAACAACATCATGCCAGGAGTTTAATCTGAAACAGGGACGTTGTGAGAAAAAGAAAGTTATGTAGATGACAACATACAAATGCTTTCTGACTGAGTTCAGTATTTGTAAAATCGGAAATTAAGATGCAGGGCCCTCCCTGGTGGTACGAGGGGTTAAGTCTCAGCACTATGAAGCTATCTGCAGCCAGTTTAGCATGAGTTCTATCCCCCACCAGAGAGCTGACCCACATGGTCAGCAGACCTCTCTTGTCCTGCCCACTGCTCCCCTCAGCAGTGGATTTGCCTGTTCTGCTCCCCACTCTGTCTCTGGTGAATCCTCTCCCCCACACATCTGGCCTGTACCCCAGCTCTTGTATGCATAAATTAAACAATAAATGTCTTTAAGAAAAAAGAAATTAAGATACATCAGGCTGGGACTCAGTTTGGGGACCTGTTCTGGTACCCAATTAACAAGGGCTATATTCCTATCATATATACTTATTTTTCTTTATAAGAGGCCTTTACCCTGGCCAGTGTGGGGTCTGTCTCAAGCCCACTGCCTCTTTAAAGAATCTTCCTAGGTCATCTGTCCCAAATCACAATGGTGGCACAAGGGGTTAGGTCTTAGCACTATGAAGCTATCCACAGCCACTTAGGCATGAATTTGATCACCTGCCAGGAAGCTACACACACACACACACACACACACACACACACATGGAGCAGCAGACCTCTCCTGTCTTGCCCACTGCTCCCCTCAGCAATGCATTTCAGTAGATCCTCCTGTTCTGCTCCCCACTTTGTTTCTAACAAACCCTCTCATGCTCCCCGCATCTCTGGCCTGTACCCCAGTTCTTATATGCATAGATAAAAATAAATCTTAAAAGAAAAGGGGGGTTCTCATCCTGCTGTACCACTTCAGTTATGTGAACATGGTCAAAGTATTCACTTTTCGTAGCCCCAGCATTCTCTCCTCTGTCTTCTCTGAGTATTTTTGTGAAGCTTATTCATCATATGGGTCAGACACCCACAAAGTGTTGACACACCCTCAGTGCTGCACAAACAGAAGCTGGATGATGAGTGTGATTATTCCTGAAACCTTTTGTTTCACCCTGGATACTCCCCCTGATTTCCTAATCTTGAAAAAAATGCAATGCCTTGAAATGGAATTTGGGGGACTGTTCCACTAAATATAATTTTAAATTTCTAAGAAACAATAAATTCAAGGATAGTTTTGTAAGCACAAAACCTTACATAGTGCAAATTAGAAAGGTAATTGTGACGAGTATTTGCAATTTACTTAGTATCATGACTTAGTTTTAGCCTAAGGATAATATTTAACTGCTAGTTTGTAATGCTAAATGTATTTTCCTAATGTGAGTTCACTTTGTTCCTCAATTTCTTTCTGCTTTTCTACTTTGTTGTATTACCACAGTAAGTCCATCTCAGAATGTCACATTCAAAGCAACAACCAGGTGTTTTTCTTGAATTAACCTGTCTATAAAAACCCGGTACAGGCCCTCCCTGGTGGCGCAGTAGGTTAAAGCACAGCACTGAGAATCTAAAGCCACTTCCGCATGAGTTCGATTCCCGCCTGCCCCGGAGGTGATCCGGGAGGCAGACCTCTCCTGACCCGCCCGCTGCTCCCCTCAGCAGTGTACTTCGTCGATCTGCCTGTTCTGCTCCCCACTCTGTCTCTGGTAAATCCTCTCACCCTCCGCATCTCTGGCCTGTACCCCAGTTCTATATGAATAAATAAATAAATCTTTAAAAAAAAAAAAACAAAAACCTGGTACAGTGCGATGTAGCACAGTGGGCAATCAAATAATTTTGTGTTTGTTTCTATGGATCTTATTGCTGAAATTATTTCCCTGTCTCCTGCTATAGTTGCCCAGGAAAATTCAAAGACAATGAAATGAAAGGACAAGGCAAGAAACTGGGGAAATAGTTCACATTCTATTTACTAACCAGATAATACCGTCTATGCTAAGTGATTAAAAACATAACAAAAGCATTAATTTCATTTGTTACTTGTACCCCTATTAGAGAAGGTGGGCGAGTCTAAACAGAAGTTTAGATATGCAAGGCCATGCTACAGGATTAGTCACCAAAATGGACTGCCACCTGTAAGTACTCAAACAAGGGAGAGACAAAGTCCCTCCATCCTAGGAGCTTCCAGTGGATGTGAGAATGGAATGTCTAAAGAACAAAGCAAAATGCACACAAGTGCCTAAAATATGGCAAGATTAAAGATCCACAGAAAGAAATCATATGAAATAGGGGTCTTATAGAAGAAAAGCCTCTGTTGAGTCTTGAACACACCTAAGATAAACCATAGGGTAGAAAAGACATAACAGGGGAAAAAAAAAATTAACTGGGTACATGTGAGAGTCAGAGCAAAGGGACTTACACACTGAGGCACCCAGAGCTGACAAAGGATTTTGAAAACCAAGTTAAGGAAACTCTTACAACAGGGGTCAGCAAACCTTTTTTGGTAAACCTTTTTCTGATAGGAAACAATTTAGGCTTCAAAGGCCATTTGGTTTCTGTCCAAAGACTCAGTTCTGCCACTGGAATACAAAGCAGTCACAGACAACACACAAATGAGCTTGGATGTGATTTTATATACATAAATAAAACTTTATTTATGTATATAAAATGTCACGAAGTTACACTTCATGTTTAGGCTGTAGTTTGCCAACCCCTATTTTAGAGACCTAACATGGAACAGTTAAACTAGGGGACTATTTAAGTAATCTAGAAGTGAAGTGATAAGAAGGAAGGTTGAACATCCTGGAGAAAGAACTGATGGTATTTCTTCACTTAAATAATATGGGAAGACCCTCCCTGGTGGCGCAGCGGGTTAAAAGCACAGCACTAAGAAGCTAAGACCACTTCTGCATGAGTTTGATCCCCGCCCCAGATGTGACCCACATGGCACTGCAGACCTCTCCTGACCCACCCGCTGCTCCCCTCAGCGTGTACTCCGTCAGTCTGCTTGTTCTGCTCCCCACTCTGTCTCTGGTGAATCCTCTCACCGCCCCTGCACCTCTGGCCTGTACTTCAGTTCTGTATGCACAATAAATCTTTAAAAAAAAAATAATATGGGGAATAGAGACACTGGTTAAGGACAGCTCCAAGATTATAAACTTGAGGGTTAGCACATAATACCACTGACAGAATGACAGAAATGAAGCTGAAAGCAGGCAGCAGCATGTTAGGGGAGATGTATATTTATTCAACATGTTAAATTTTTACTAAACAGAAAGCAAGAGGCTGGGGCTGAGAAACAAAAGCAAGAGAAAGGTCAGAGCTGG